AGTCGTAAATGAAAATTTTTACATGGACGATTACTTGGATTCGTTCGGAAACGTTACCCATGCAATTAAAATTAGGCGCGGTTTGGTTTCGTTACTAAAGTTGGGAGGATTTAATTTGACTAAATTTGTCAGTAATGCTGATAAAATCACTTCAGCAATGAACCCCGAGGATTTCGAAACCTCGCCTTCACCCGTCAAGGAAATTTGTAAGGGTGCCTTACAATCATCACACGTTTTAGGTCTTAAGTGGGACCATGTGAAAGACACATTGGTTGTTAGTAGAGGCGTGGATCGTCCTCTCGATAAGGCAATAACTCAACGAACCGTCTTGAGTTTCGTCTCTTCTGTGTTTGACCCTGTTGCGTTAGTAGCTCCATACACCGTTAGGGCCCGTCTTTTGCTTAAAGGTTTTTTGGAAAATCAGTGGATAAAGTCGGGACGACGAATTGCGTGAAGACATAAGAGATAAGTTTCTCGAGTGGCACTTCAGTCTCCCTCTCCTAGGGCAATTGACTATTCCCCGTTGTTACTTCACAGAGCCTGTGGATCAAATTGAGCTCCACATGTTCGGTGATAGCTCGCGGGACGTTTTCTGTGCATTTGGGTTTTTGCGTGCGCGACTCTCAAGTTCGCACAAAACTCAAATATCCTTTATCTTTGGCAAAGCTTACGTTGCACCCATGAAAGTGCTATCTATACCGAAGCTGGAGCTTCAAGCTGCACTGCTCACCACGCGACTGAAAGATGGTATAATGACATTCCTTAGTGTCAGCATTAACCATGACTACATGTGGGCAGATAGTACAACAGTTTTGCAGTGTCTAAACTCCACTGAAAAATTACCAGGACTTCACAGGACTAATGATTGGCCGTTTATACCCGACGAACGTATGATCAATAAAATTCGTTTGAGGGTCCTTCTTGTGATGTTGATAACTGCTTGGAGACATTATCTTTCTTCGTCACAGATGTCACATCCATCAAACATCCCGATTACGGGTTCAATTGGGAAAGGTTCAGTTCTTTTACGAGATATAAAAGCGTAGTCGCTTTTATGTTGAGGATGCTGCCTTCACATAAGCATATTCGCGGTAAGGACTTACAAATCACCGACCCCACTGAAATTGATATTGCAGAAAGAAAACTGATTCATCTTGCTCAGATGGAATCCTTCCCCGTTGAGTTAAAAACACTCATCGCTGGCAAACCTATTTAGAATAGTAGTAAAATTGCTTAGTGGATACCGGGTTTGATACTAAGCACCCAATGTTACTCGACGCCGACATACCTTAGTTCGTTTGTTGGCTCGCAGCCTCCATCATAAGCATTTTCATCAAGGCTTAGATTATATGCTCTCCCTTTTAAATATGAAATAGGCAATTCTTGGGTTGCGTCGACTACTTCGGTCTATCGAAAATCAATGTGTAACATTCCGTAACCGCAAAGCAAGTACCATCCAGCCTATTATGTCTGAATTACCTGTCGAACATCTCGGATATAAGCAACCTTCAATCATACGGTTGTGGACTACTTTGGACCGCTTTACGTTCCGGTTCGCAGAAGCACTGAAAAAAGATGGGGATTTCTTTTCACTTGCCTCACCACCAGGGCTGTACACCTTTGGATTGTTCGATCTCTGGACACTAGTTCTTGTGTCATGGGCATTGAATGGTTCCTTGCTGGTCGTGGTACACCAAGCACGATCTGTCCGGATAACGGCACGAACTTCGTTGGTGCGGAAAAAGAATTACTTGCCTGCATCAAGAGTTGGAATGGCATGGCTCCAACCATTCTTGCACACAAAAATTTTGCTTGGAATTTAACCCGCCAGGCTCACCCTATCATGGTGGCTCCTGGGAGCGCCCCATTTGAAGCGTGAAGCGCGTGCTTTACAATAAACAAGGCAGTAGGCGAGTCACCGAAGAGGTGTTAGGAACAACACTCTGCTTAGCAGAGCAGACTTTGAATTCGAGGCCAATCACTCCCGTTAGTACTGATTCACGTAATTTAGAAGCTTTTACCCGAAACCACTTTCTGCATGGACAACATGCCACAAGCTTTTCTTTGCTTTTAACTGGGGAGCACTTCGACCACAAGAAAAGGTACGTGCGAGCGCAGTCGTATGCTAACGCTGTTTGGTCTCGTTGGCTTCAAGAATATGTTTTCTCACTCAATAAGCGTGTCAAGTGGAACACTCTTTCTGACTTCACTCATAAGACAGGCGATCTCGTGTGGGTGATTGCGCCCGATAGTCCGCGTGGGTACTACCCTCTCGCCCGAATCGTCAAGTTAAACTACGGACAGGACGGTTGCGTCCGATCCACCCTTGTTAAGTCCACAACCCGTGAAATCACTCGGTCGACCGTTAAGCTCGCTCCGGTTCTTCCTTCTTCAGGGGGGTAGGATGTTGCAACGCACTTATAAAACAGAGTATAAATGAATATAAAAAAAAGAACAGTTGGCCGAGCGGCCTAAGCTAAAGTAACGAAACGCTCTATAGAGACATGACAGTTGACGTAGGTTCGAGTCCCCCACCTGCCCATGTCTTAATATACTAAAAACGGTGGTTTTTACATATTTTAAGTGTTTTTTGGTTCTAATTCGGTTCAGCCTTGATTAAGGCTGACCGCGAAAAAGAGCAATTTGTCCCAAGGAAATTACCAACCGGTTCTTGTGGCTAGCTTGCGCCAATTTGTTTATTGGAGCTGATTTTTGGTGATTTTATTATTTTGTTTTACAGCAAATTTTGGATGAAATTCTCAATATTGCCGATGAATTTTGTATTGCCGAGAATACGAGTTTATCATTGATTTTTTTCGGTTTTAAATTCAATCTACTGAGATTTAGCGAGCACAACTATGTTCATTACTCTTAATATAGTTCTTTACTTTTGTTAGCATGACACTAAAGTTCAAAGCGGAATATTGGGATTGAGAAATTGGGAAAAAAACAAACTCTCGGAATAAATTTGGCGGGATATTTAAAATTTGATTGCATAAATGAAATTATGTATTTTTTGATATTCTCGTCAATTCTTCTCGATACTTCTCTGATGAACCTCAAACTGCTGACGCCAACTCCCCCAAGGCTTTCCATTGCCACAGGTTTGAAAATAACATGATTCGGCAGGTCTGCATAATGAGATCCTTTTAGGTTTTCAGCCTCGTTGGCAATTGCTGGACCTTTCTTAGTGGAAGTCTCTGATGTGACTTCGCTAAACAATTTACGCACGTAAAATCCCATGCCACTACTTTCCCTTGTTTCCAGGACGATAACGTAACACCATCAGGACGTCTTCTATTTTTCCTTAACAAGCCCAATGGTTCCAATGTTGAAGGCAGGCCAGCGGACGACAGCATTTGCTTAAAGAGTTCAACAGTCGCTTACTTAAGTCACATATGAGTTTAAAGAAAAATAGGCCCTATAACCATTGGCTCAAGAGTCAGGGACACTATCTCTTGTGTGTTTCTATCTCAAGCGGTCGGAGCCAATTCGGTACACTTGCGACATGAGACTAAAACCCGCGTTACTGCTTAAAGGTCACTACCAAAATACCCCCCCCACTCTAGAAAATAAGAACGCTCCCATACTCAGGTCTCAAAATACTTAAATTACACACTTAAATTACCTTATGAATAGTTAGTTTTTATTAGACAGTTGACCTTTGATCCATTTCAGATGGATCAACTTAAAACTCGCCGTAACTAAAGATAACAATATAAAACACACTCAAGAAAATTAAATTAGGTACTCACATACCAATACGACCTCTAGAATAGAGTGACTAAGTTAGAAAGCAACTCTAGGGTTGATTGGTTAATTAGGTTTAACTCGAGAAGTTTGAAATAAGCAAGTTCTAACTCAAGAAACAAGTTTTTGTTCTGGACCATTGGGCAGCTTCAGCTGTCCACTTTTCCACCGAAGGTACACTCTGGTCCCTTCTAGTTTATTTTCTCTCCACTCGCGATCCCTTTCTGTCTTCTGCCAAGAATAAGACAGCTCTGCTCTCGTTCGAAGTATGTATTGGAAATTGCGAAACTACAATTTCCCGCGTTGTAGTTTGAATCTTCTGATCTTCTTTTTCTCGTATTTTCAATTGATTGGTCGATGTCCTCATTGCGTGCCGTGGTCTGTCAGTGCGCCCCCAGATTGTAGAGTGCATATCAAGATATAGTGCAGTGATCATTTATAGAAGTTGCATCAGACTTAACTTTATCTACACCCCGAAATTCCCATTCATGCAAAATTGTCACATTATCGGTAAACAGCAATCAAAATATGCATACACCTGCACCCTGAATTTCCGCTTTTTAGGCTAATGATTGAAATTTCTTTTGTTCTACCCATTCAGAAAATTGTCATGCAGCATTTTGGTTCATATAGTAGGTATAATATATGAGTAGCACTAATTTTTTATTAAAACTTCTTTTCCGTGCCCTCAGATTTCATCTGAGTTCACACTCAAGTCCCTTTTTCTTTCCCCCGCTCACGACGCAAGAACCAATCCCTGAACACCCTCTTCAGTTCGTGCCCCTTGTCTTCGAGGTAATGGGTCCTGACATACTCGACATCGTAATCTGCCTTGCCAGTTCTTCTTCGTCATCGGAACTGTTACGATCTCTTCCCATGCCTTCAGCTGTTCGTTTGCTCTTGTAGTATTTTCGTCTGATTCGGCAGATCCTTCGCTTTAGATTCCCTATTCAAGCAAAAGGAATTGTGCAAACTCAGGCTCACGTTCTTCGCCAAGTCCTCATCTAATATCGATTCCCTCGCTTTGGTGTTATCTCGAGACACTCTACCAACTGTTTCCCAACCCGTGTTTATTGCTTTGCGATAGGTTAGCAGGGTCTCTTGAAAGCTTCCGGCCCTATCTCGGACAGGAACTGTCCTTACTCTTTCTGACGCTTCTTCATGTGATCCTTCGTCACCGTGTACAACCAAGACGTCAAAGTCGCTCAAAACCATGAGAAGAACCTTATGCGACTCCACACGTGCCTCACCTCCATAGGTATAGAGAATACTTTGCACGCAGTCTCAAACAACTCAAGCCTCCGGTTGTAATCAATGGCATATATTGATTCCGCTGTTGGTGCCCTCGACTCTCGATACTTCGTCACGTTTTGCTCGATCCACCGCAACGCCAGCATCCAGCTCACCACGAAAAGGGTAAACTTCTCCTGATGGTCGGGTAACCCGATTAACGAATTTCTTCCTGGTCCCATATCAAGCAGAGGTTCGAATGCTCCGGATACCACACTGTCTGAGCCAGGCAGTGGCATGGGCATTCCCCATGTGTCAGGTTGATACTCCGGAGGTTGCGTTCTCCCGAAGCTTCCAACAGAGGTTCAAACTCCATCATTTTCTCATGTGTCACGTCATATTCTTCCATGGCTGGGGCACTATTCATCGCTTTGCCGATCGTGTTCTGTCTCTAGAAATCACTCGTGTTTTCGCTTTCTAAGCTCAAGAATTGCTCCCCCCAGATCTCACTCAAGTTCTCTCATTGATCCACTGGCACAGCTCCCAGGATCTTCTTCAACAGTCTATGCGAGTGATGCGACATTCGAGCCTGGCGTACACACTTGGGTATCGAGAAGGCTTTGTCAAATATTACCCTCGGACTGGATGCCTCCACCATCGCCATGTGTAATGGGTAGTGGCTTCCACACAGATTGGCCATTACCGATCCCACCAGAGATTTCGCATTCATTGGCAAACTGTAGGCTTCACTCATGGGAAACCCCATCTCCGCCTCAAGTCCAATCTTCCATCCTCTGATGTGCTTCTGGACCATTTGTAACACTCCGGGCCATGAATCCACGCTCAACGCCGTCACCAATTGGTGCTCGGATTCTAGCATCTCCAGTGATTACAAGCTGCACATCCCCGAGAAGAATCCCAAAGCGTTCGCTACGTTCACAGTGGTGCTCACATAGCATTCAGCCACTATCTGCACTTTTTTCTTTCTCCGTGATGTCACCAAAGTACGTGGCTAATTCCTCCTTCTGAAAAGATTGTATTCTGAAGCAGGATCGTCTATCACAAGAATGCCCTCCAACTCCACTCACTAGGTCCTGACAATTACCCGATTCCATCTTCTTCACTAAAGTGTCATGCTTGCTCGTTGTTTCCTCCGATTCCTTTCGATGAGGTAGGATTAGTTTGTGCACCACGTTCAGATTCCCCAAGTCCTCATCCTTCGCTGGTGACAGTCTCACTCGCTCTGTGAGTTCTTCAATCAAACTCGCGTGGGGATGTGGGAACCAAGGGGGTCCCAGCAACTATCAAACGGTCCCCAATTTCGTAATCAACATGTCGTTTCCACTTCCCATCTTTAGTTCCACCCTCTTATTCGAGCGCGGCCCGCTGATCACCTCTGGCATCTTCTCAACTAACAGACCTAGGCTCGGCCTTTCCCTTTCCGTCGGGTCAGTCTCAACTATTTTCTCCGTCCTGAGTTTCAACAGTTCCGCCACCTCAAATTGCATGTAAGCGTTTCCGGCCTCCGAATCCAAGAAAGGGTTATAAGCTATTCCCATCACTCTAGACACATATTGATATTCTCCCCGTTTTGTGGGCTTCGCATGGTCTTCTGCTCGGGCCAAGTTACGATTTACGTCACGCCCCTCCTCGAATTTCTTGTTGTAGAACCTTCGTATTTCATCAAGCTTCTCATGGCTCTCTAGAGACTGCCTTGAGCTCTCTTCTTTTTCGATTCCAGTACTCTGGTATACGTTCAGGATAACAGTGGAGACTCTCCTTTCCATAGTTTTACTTTCCATCGCTTTTTGATGTTACATTTGAAGAGTAGTGTCGGTTATGACTGACATGATCCACCTCAAGAAACAAGTGGCATCTTTTCTTCTCGCTAGGCTCAATCCCGAGTTGTCTCGAGCATTGTGTTGCGCCAGCATTTGGTACACCTGCAGACCCTTGTCACCCAGTTTAAGTTTGTCGTGCGAGGTCAACGCCTCCATTGCCACTCCCGCAAAACTCCATGTGAACATCAACCATCCTGCCGTTCTGACAAAAGGATTCGCCATCATTTGCAATGCCGACGAGGGTGCCCTCATCGCATTTTCAAAGTACTCAAGCACCAGGTTCTGGAGCTATCCACCAAGGCCGAGCGGTGTTTCTCGTCGCATTTCTCTCGAGAGGATCGCATGTCACTTGCTTCTCAATGGCCTGGTGTTGCGTCGAAAGCCACTCCTTGTGGATGTCCACTTCCCACGTTTGTCCACTAGTCGAACCCCTCTTCGCGTTTGCTTTTTGGGGTTTCAAGTCATCCTCCGTTCCCTCGGCCAACCTCCTGGGTGCTGAGCGGCTCTTGTAGGCCGCTGTTTTCCCTCGTGCTAGAATCGTGGGAGCTGTCTCTTTTAGATTATTCTCTGAAACCGCAGCCGCCGAAAGACTCGCCTCTTCTGTCTCCCGTTTCCTTTTCCTAGACCTTATTCCTTTAATCGGGAGGCGTTGCCACCACCATCACTGACTCGACTTCTTTGTCCAGGTCCCTTTTTTCCGACTCTTGCCTCCCCCTTCTCTAGCCCTAAGAATATTAGTATCTTTAATCATAATACTAGTATGATTTTTATCATCCACTTCGACACTTATTCCTTTATCATCAGTTTTTTTGATTAGAAATGAGCTATCTTTACATGGGTTGGCCCCGGTGTCCTGCCTCTGCTTCCCTAGCCGAATCATCTTCTCGAGCAGCCGTTACCTCACTTTCTCGTACAGTCCAGTGCCGATCAGGACTGGCTCTCCAAACTTCACTACCGTGCTCCACAGTTCTTCCTTGAAGTCGTCTACTTTAGCTTTGTCTTCCCCCCTCTGGTTGAAACTTTGCCACGCCTCCTCGTCCAGCGTGCTCAAGAACATTTCTTTGTTGCCTTCAATGGTATTCTTCTCCCTTGCTTTATCGGTCAGGAGCACCATTCACTTGTTGGATGGTTCCCTAGTTAGTGGCAGCTCAAGATTCTTCCGGAGAGACCGCAAAGGTGGGGTGGCCGTGTTTGCCCAGTCGTCCACACTCAGATCTTGTAGTAGCTCACGTGTAGTGCCGTGACTGAAGTCTCTGTTCATTGCCCCTCCGTCGGGCGTATTCCCCACTTCCATTTCCTCTCCAGGTTCGCTGAGGGTTTCGTCCATGCTCTCCCCCTCTCCTGACTCCGGATGATCCCTCTCTAGCGCTTCAATGAATATGTTCTCCACTCGAAAGTTTCTTCTGTCTCCTGGGGTTCCCACTGACAGGGGTAAAGGTGTCGTCGGATCGGCTGCTTTATATTCAGTGAGGGGCACGTATAGGACTCCTGCCGCGTCCAACTTTCGTCCCTCCTGTTGCAGCTCTACTTCTTGCAATCCATAAGGTGCCGGATATTTTCTCGTGCCAAATTTCATTTCATCCTTTAGGGCTAGGTGAATTTCCTACACAAAGTGACGTCATCATAGATGGCAGCTTGCTCTCAAGTCCTGCCTTCTCAAGAGTCTTCAGCACTTCCCGAACCTCAAACTTTGGAGGCATCGAGCTCCGCATCTTCTTTGCTTGCGTGTTCCACGATTTTATCTTGGTTTCAAAGGTATGGAAGTGCACCGCTGCCGATTACCCGCTGAACAAGGGGTCCCGGCTTTCCGTGAACTTCTTTTGCTGCTGCCCCACCGTCGCTCTCGCGTGCCGGGAAGGGACTACCATGGGGCTATTCATCCCCAAAGTCATCCGCCTCACCATCGGGAACTCAGGAATTGCGGCGGTCAACAAGTCCCGCTCAAATATTGTCTCCAGCTCCATGTTCGTAAACTTGAAGCACTTCGTCCAGGCTGGGATCCTCAAGACCTCCCTCGTGTTTTTTGCTATTATGTTCATGTTCCAGAATTTTGGGTAGACTTCGATGGGACCTTCTCGCTTTCCCCCCATCCTGCATTGCATTGCATTTGACCCCTGAAATTGAGCACTATTAGCTCTGGGTCCTTTATCTTCTCAAAGAGTACTATCTAACGCATTCTGTCTTCTTGTCGGCACCAGTTCAGTGCCGTCCCATCCAAAACGCTGATCAGGCGCACGTGCACCACCGAGTGTCGGTACGCTGCCACAAGCGGATCCGGGAAGGCGTAAGTCACGGCTGGCCCATAAACAAAGGTCACCACCTCTCCCAGTCCCCTGATCATCCCCACGGGATCAGATCTCATGGCCAAGCACAAATCGGCCAAGAGAGGTTTTCCTTCATTCGCCTCCCTCACTTCTTCTCTCGTCTTTGCGCTTCTCTCTTCGCCTGTCAAATGCCTGTTCTGCATCAGGAGACATTCCACTAGCAGCGTCTTCGGTCCAGCAGAACACTTGTAGGAATAAGTCTCTGGACTCGGTTGGGCCTTCCTCACCGACAGGGGTTTCCCATCTTTCATCAGTTGATGAAATGTAGTCAGTTCCCCATGTGTCAGGAGTATTATGGTCAAGTATCCGTCAATTCGGAGCGTCTCCACACCTCTGCTCAACATATATGCTGAGCCCATGTTGAACAGGTACCTGGGGTATACCAAGTACAAGACCAGTACGAGTATGATTGGCATACTCAAGAGTTCCTGCACGAACGCCTCGAAGATCGCGTTCCCTGCGTAGAACACCTTGTCCATGTATTCCTTTTCCCAACAAGGACTCGAGAATCTCAAGACCTCTCAAGAATCTTGTGTGACATCCGGGTCCTCAGTTCGCAATTCGCATGATCCCTCCAGAAGCCTACAATAGTCACTTCGTTTGCTGCCGTGACAAATCTCCCCACTGTCATCTCTCTCTCTTCTGCTACTTCCAGCTGTTCCTCCAGAAACTCCCATATTTGCTTCAACAGCGGTGAAGCACTTTCTCTCGTCCTGTCCGTCACCTTCGCAAGTCTCGGGGTCAGGAACAACCATCTTCCTATCTCTTGTGTTAGACGGTATGCCATCGACCCCACTTGTTTTTCGGCTGCCACCACATTCTTTCTCTCATTGTTTGGCCCCCTCGTCCTGCTAGTGGAACTCGTGATCGTCGGCTCCATACTCCCGAACCACGGGCTGGCTGTCAGATGAGTTATCTCCAGACAAGGGACCTCGTCCAAGACGATCAGGATGTCCGCAAGCTCGGAAAAGCCCCTCAGAGCGTGGGACACATCCACCCACGCCGCCACCACTTCCGACTTCAAGGGTATCAAGTTCACCATCTCAAGCTCACGAGTTGGGGCCGCCATCAGCATCCGCCATCCGTTTCCCTCCACAATCAGAATTATCATGGAGTAAACGAACTGTAAAGCAGGTGGCA